GACCTCGTGCTCTGCCCGCCTCAGCCTCCCAAAGTGCTGGGATTACAGGCATGAGCCACCATTCCCAGTCTCAACATGGTAGCCTTTTACAAATTACTATATTTTTTTCAGATTATAGTAATTCATACAGCAAGCGTATATAACGGTAGGACAAAACACCTTAAGCCAAGATGTCATCTCCATGGTCTGTCCAGGTAGCATAGAACAGAAAAGGAGATGTGATTGAAAGATGTTGCTTCATCTACATGTTACTACTATTGTCTGGGGTTCCTTCGGAGCCAGGGAGAACCTCGCTGTGATTGGCATTGGAAAGACCTGTGGTTAGAAGAAAATTATGTGGGAAAATTCCAGCCTCATCTTTAAACCATCATTTGGCTATTGTGTTAGTGAATAAGTCTGAAAGGTACATCTTCATTCATACATAAACATAATTTAGTTTTCATTAGGTGGATTCTTTGCTCACATCCAGCTGAGAACATGACACTAAAGAAATAGGGCTTTAATTAGGGAGGGAAAGAGAGAGAACGTAGAGTCCCTTTGGTTGTCACTTAAGAGATAGAGATGAAGGAGAAGTAGAGTTGGAGGTCAGAAGGGCCAGAAGGTAAATGTAGTCTAATATTGGTCATAGTGAGGTGAAGGCTTTTGGGGTAGAGATTCACCTAGGGTGAGAATTATTTCCTAAGTTCTAGAGTAGGATGGTAAATAACAAATAGTCCTAGGTGCTTTGTCAGGAACTGATAATGACTAAAGTATATTTTAAATAATAAGAGTTATACTTACGTTTGCTGCTGTGATCCTCTCACAGTAGCTGTGAAATATTTAAAGTAAAGCGTAAAATTATTGTATCTATAAGTAAAAATGGTCTCTTTTTAATGCTTTCAGTATCATAGTTTAGTATGAAGCTAATGCTAACGTCATAAAATCATTTTTTCCTAAGATAATTTTCAAGATTTATAGGGAGATAGAAATGCCTGCATTTCCTCTGGATTTGCCATTTCTTGCATAGTATTATGTATAACATTTTCTTAAACAAAAAGTTTAAAGAAAATATTAGCAAATCAAACCTAGCTGTGTAGTGAAAGAATAACATGCATATATGAATTGTTCTATTGTACAAATTCTAGGATAATTCAGTATTCGCAAATATGTCACTATAATTCAGAATATAAGTAAAGGAGAAATTCATTATCTCACTAGATGCTTAAAGAGCTTCTGAAAAAAAATTTAGCCATTTCTTAATAAAATTATAAAAAATATGAATAGAAGGAAACTACATAAACATGGTAAATAATCTTTACTAAAATACAACAACAAACCAACCTATTAAAATATGAAATACCAAAACTATCACTGTGAAAATCACAGGCAATACAAAAATTATTGCTATCACAACTGTTGTGTATAGCTTAGTATTATTGCTTTGGGCTAGTAATGTAAGGCTAAATTCTTTATTTCCAGAAGATATACATCTAGGAAATCTAAGAGTTTCATTTGTGAGACTATTAGCACTAATAAGAAAGTGTGGTAAAGTAGCTGAATACAAAGAAGAGAAATCAATAACCTCTTCATTTTGCAACAAAGTAAAAAAACTGAAGTAAAACTGAGCAGAATGTATTCTCATATATATTAAATATCTGTTATACTATGCATTTAAAATCAGAGCTTAGCATTTTTGGGAAGCTCTACAAAAAGATATATGACATGTTGATTCCAAAAGGATTTTTTGAGGACTAAGTGAGATAAAATACACTAAAATTTTTAAGAGAATTATCAAGGTTGCCATACAGTATATTGAATGAGAAATTGTGGAGGAAAAGAAGGGCAGCTGCAGTTTCTAAAGGGAATCTACAGTGAGAAGTAGTCTGATTCACAACTGGATTTACAGACCTCTGGTTAAATATGGTGTCCTAGAGTCTGCAGTTATCTCAAAGGAAGCTTTGAAATGTTAATTCATAGCCGGCGGATGGGGTGGTGTCACCTGTAATCCTAGCTACTTGGGAGGCAGAGGCAGGAGACTTACTTGAACCCAGGAGGTGGAGGTTGCAGTGAGCCAAGATTGCGCCACTGCACTCCAGCCTGGGGAAAGAGCAAGACTCTCAAAAAATAAATAAAATAATAAAACACCTAAATAAATAAAATCTTAATTCATAAGGAGAAACATAACAGTAAAGGAGACAATGACCAAAGATTTTAACAATTTTTCAAAACAGAAAGTGAATGGAGGAGTAGTAACTGAGTTCACAGAGGAAGATACCACCTAAGTACCTGCAGAGATCAGTTACGGAGATACAAATCAGCATGCCCCAGGGATATCTTGAGAGCGTTCCTTGTGCTTGGAGGCTCCACATATTCCAAAAGGCTGAAGTCAGTTTTACAGCTCACAGTGGAAATTCCTTAAAAATCCATATCCAGATCTTTTAGACCTTTCTCTCCTATACCCCAGCAGATGGGTAACTACTTCAGTCCCCTGTGTGCTGGGGAAATGGGAGGAGCACTAGAACCAGAAGTGCTCCAGACTAGAGAGGTGAAGCACACGATTGAAAGTCAAGTGAGCCTGTACAAGTCTGCACACTGAAGTGTAGGACCCTACCTGCTCCTTCCTTCCTTCACTACTCCTCAAGGCAGCACTTACATGAGTTGATCCCTTCGCACCCCACCCAGCACTTCGTTCTGTCTGGCAAAACTTAACAGCTTCGATGAAGAAACCTCCACATACTGAACATTTGGAGGTCTCCCAATGAAAAGGGGACTCAATATACCTGATCGTTTTACAGAGAAGCCCATCAGTCAACAAACCTGCCACCCACGCTGAGCTTGGGCATTTTTTTAGTGACTCACTATTAAATATGGAGGCACATCCGGGGATCACTAGATATATGAGGAAAACCTTAAAAGTGAAAGAGATGGCCAAGACTGGCGGATCACAAGGTCAGGAGTTCGAGACCAGCCTGGCCAACATGGTGAAACCCCATCTCTACTAAAAATACAAAAAATAGTCAGGTATGGTGAGGCGTGCCTGTAATCCCAGCTACTCAGGAGACTGAGGCAAGAGAATTCCTTGAACCTGGAAGGCAGAGGTTGCAGTGAGTTGAGATCGCCTGGGCAACAAAGCGAGACTCCGTCTCAAAAAAAAAAAAAGTGAAAGAGACCCAGTCAACGAGCCAATGAACGATAAAGGAACCCAGAGGAATCCAGTGATCCAAGAAACAGAAGAACAGAGAATGAGAAAGTGCTTTTGGAAATTTAAAAATGTGGTAGTTGGAAAAAACTTCTGTGGACAAATTGGAAGATGAAATTGAGATGTATTAGGGCAAGAGACTGTCATTTTTTTAAATCTAAATTTAAGATTTTAAATCTGTGAGTAGTACTCATTTATTTATTTATTTTTTTAATTTTTATTTTTGAGACGGGGTCTCACTCCAGTTGCTCAGGCTGGAGTACAGTGATCTCAGCTCACTGTAGCCTTGACCTCCCGAGCTCAGGTTATTCTGCCGCCTCAGCCTCCGGAGTAGCTGGGACTACAGGTTCATGCAACCATGCCTGGCTAATTTTTGTATTTTCACTAGAAACAGGGTTTTGCCATGTTGCCCAGGCTGATCTCGAACTCCTGGACTCAAGTGATCTGCCCGACTCAGCCTCTCAAAGTGCTGGGATTACAGGTGTGAGCCACTGCGCCCAGCCAATACTCATTTTTAACTGTGCATTTACCCTGTTAAACATAAGGAAAAATATTCACTAAATCTGGATTTTTTTGAGACGGAGTCTTGCATTGTAGCCCAGGCTGGAGTGCAGTGGTGCGATCTCAGCTCACCGCAAGATCCACCTGCCGGGTTCACGCCATTCTCCTGCCTCAGCCTCCTGAGTAGCTGGGACTACAGGTGCCCGCCACCATGCCCGGCGAATTAAAAAAAATTTTTTTTATTTTTAGTAGAGACCGAGTTTTACTGTGTTAGGATGGTCTTGATATCCTGACCTCGTGATCTGCCTGCCTCGGCCTCCCAAAGTGCTGGGATTACAGGCGTGAGCTGCTGCACCTGGCCCTAAATCTGGATTTCTGTTTTTAGTTAGAGAAGAGGACTAACTTTTTTTCACATCGGCTGTTCATGAATAAATAATGCCTGATGGAGATTTTTGGAGCATTAAATTTGTGTTTGGTATTCTGGGACAGATGTTAGTGTAATATGCATTGTTTACAGTCTTTCTCAAAATCTTTGTGTTTTTCGTGGGAGAAAGGCTGTGGAGTTAGCTGTCCTGCTAACTCCACAGCCTTTGGTCACCAAATGAATGGTATTGCGCTAATCACGTACCGCCTCTGATTTTCATTTTCCTGATCTATAATATGGGGATGGTAATAATGGTAACCTATCTCACAGGGCTGTGATGATGAGTAGAAGAGATAAGACCTGTGAATTACCTAGTATAATGTGTAGCATGTTCTAAGTGCTCAATGAAAAGAAGCTTTGATTATAACCATCAAGTAGATGGACTGGTATTTATAGATGGTTAAGAAAAGGGTACAGTCAGCCCTCCATATCCATCGGTTTCACAAAGTCTGTAGCTTCAGCCTACCACAGATTGAAAACATTTGGGGGAAAAAAATTGCGTCTGTACTAAATATGTACGGAATTCTAAGCATACAGTATAACAGTTGTTTACATAGCATTTACGTTGTATTAGGTGTTGTAAGTAACCTAGAGATTAAAGTATGTGAGAGGACTTGCTTAGGTTATATGCAAATACTGTGCCATTTTATATCAGGGACTTGAGGATCCACGGATTTTTTTTTAATCCATGGGGGGTCTTGGACCCTATCTTCCTGGGATAATAAGGGACAACTCTGTATTTAAAAAGTAACACGTGAATGAATGAATTCCTTAATTGTAGAGCTATGCTCTGGCTCTAGTGTTAGTCCTCTGACCATTAAAGACAGCATGTTGGTGTGTTTATGATTATACAGGAATTAAGTTTTCATAAACTTAAATGTTGCATTTCACTTACAGGCGTCGATTAGCAAGGTAAAAGTAACAGAACCATGGCTCAGTTTCCAACACCTTTTGGTGGTAAGTTTTCAGAAATTTCTCTTTTTAATGTACTTTGAGACCAGATTTTAAAAACTTGATATTATGGCAAATTTAAAATTAAAAAGTAGAGAAAATAATGTAATCAACCTTCATGTATTCCATCATATAGTTTCATTAATTATCAACTCATGCCCAATATTATTTCATCTGGATTCTTTTGGAGCAGCTCCCAGGCATCATATCATTTCATCTATAAATATTTTAGTATGTGTACCTAAAAGATAAGAAAACATTTAAAGACAACTTCAGTGGCATTATCACACCTATAAAAATTTACAATACCAGGCCAGGCGTGGTGGCTCATGCTTGTAATCCCAGCATTTTGGGAGGCCAAGGCCGGTGGATCACCTGAGGTCCGGAGTTCAAGACCAGCCTGGCCAACGTAGTGAAACCCTGTCTCTACGAAAAATACAAAAATTAGCCGGGCATGGTGGGGGGCGCCTGTAGTCCCACCTACTCGGGAGGCTGAGGCAGGAGAATGACATGAACCTGGGAGGCGGAGGTTGCAGTGAGCCAAGGTCATACCACTGCACTCCAGCCTGGGTGACAGAGCAAGACTCCATCTCAAAATAAATAAATAAATAAATGTACAATACCATATTATCATACCTATAAAATGTTTGCTATATCTAGTCTGTACCTTATAGTCTTCGGACATTTCCCTGATAGTCTTTAGACATTTCTTGTTATGATTTGTTTGTTTAAATTGGGATCCAAATAAGATACAAACATTGCAATTAGGCCATGTCTTTCCCAAGTCTCTTAGTGAATTTTCCCTCACTCCTCTGTTTTTTTATCAGCAAGTTATTTTTTGAAGTGATGGGGTCGTTTACACTTTTTCAAAGCCTGGATTTGAAGCACGACATTTTTGTTTGTTTTACTTTAATTAAACTAAACATAAGTTTGAAACGTATCAGTCTGCATAAAATGTGTTTTGTGAGTAATTTTTCCTAATGTTATTAGGAAATTGTTAATTGTTCTTGCTTACACCCAAGTTACTTTTTAACAAAAATACTTATTAAAAAGTAGTACTTATTAAAAAATACTTATTACAAATTTATATTAACGGAGTACGCTTGGAAGCTGTCTAATCTCATCATGAAGAGAGTAAAAGTCTCTGTGGGATTCTGGTGCAGAGATCTGTAAACTTTTCAGAATTACTATTCTATTTTATTTTTGTTCCCCTTAATTACTGTACAATTTTTGGTTTTTGTTTATAGTTACAGGGATGAATTCTGACAGGGCAGTGAAAATTTCTTCTAGAAGTTCAGACCTGTAAGGCCTGTGAGGGAAGGGGTCATCTCTGTCTTGGACACCACTTCATCCCCACAGTAAATATTTTTCCAGTGACTGAATGGATTTTTACTTTATCGGTCAGTGTTATACCAGACCCGGTAGAGAGGAGAGATACAATGTTTAGATGTTTTTGCTGATGTGCTGGGCACATTCACATTTTGTGTGAAACATACGTATTGTGTATTCCCAGTTTTGTGGAAGGTGTCCAAGCTTTTGAAAGGTTTCCATGTATATAATCTAGAATTATTTTAGTCAATTTGAGGAGACCTAGGACTAAAGTCAGCAAGATCTCAGTCGTGAGTGGACATCTAGTCAGCCTAAGAGCTGAAACTGAAGGAAAACCTAAAACTCATTCTCTTTGGCTATTATTTCATATCAGGACATCCCTGCCCCTCTTGTTTTTTTGTTAACTCTGCTTTCTGCATACTGAGATACCCATTTTTAAAAACAGCTTTAGTGAAATATAATTTATATTCCATAAAATTTACTAGCTTTAGCTGTATAATAATTTTTGGCAAATTTATAGTTGTGCAACCATCACCACAATCTAATATATTAATATTTTAATCACCCCCCCAAAAGATTTTCATGGATATTTATCACACTCAACTTCTTCTTTCATAACTTTTGCCTGTGGCATTTAAGGCACTTGAGGGTAAGTTTTAGGTTTAAGTTAATTTAGTCTGTTGCTTGGGTTTATGTAAGTAAATTATTAATTTATTATAATCTTGCTAACTTATAAGACAAGTTTCTAAAAAAGGAATGTGTGCCTCTTCTTTCCCTCCCTTTCTCTCTCTTTCTGTTTCTTACATTTTGTGTCCTGTTTTACACTTAATTTTCTAACTTTATATGCATAACTTCCAAGGACAAGCAGATGTGACTTTATCAAGTCTTTATAATACATAGAATCTTGAAGTGCTGTGGAAATAGTGTGTGAGAGCATTTTGTTTTGCTTTTCTCACTGAATAATTTGTTTGTCTTTTCTTTGGATTTTAGGCAGCCTGGATATCTGGGCCATAACTGTAGAGGAAAGAGCGAAGCATGATCAGCAGTTCCATAGTTTAAAGCCAATATCTGGATTCATTACTGGTAATCAGAGTCAGCATTTTTTCATTTTTACTTATCAGTAGTGCAGATGTCTGTGGAAACTCTATTATGCAAAGCGGAGATGGGCAAATATGACCAAGGAGAGACCTTTACCTATTTTGCCTTAACCTTGTGCCTGTCCTTTTATAATTTTTTTACACATAATGGAATCATACCTTGTTTGCAATTTTTAGTGCATGTCAAACCACTTGTTTGTGCATATAATTTATGGGAATTTGTTAAGATCAAAGGACCTGTGGTTCACACCTGTAATCCCAGCACTTTGGGAGGCTGAGGCGGGCAGATCTCTTGAGGTCAGGAGTTCCAAACCAGCCTGGTCAACATAGTGAAACCCCATCTCTACTAAAAATAAAAAATCAGCTGGGTGTGGTGGTGAGCGCCTGTAATCCCAGCCACTTGGGAGGCTGAAGCAGGAGAATTGCTTGAACCCAAGAGGCAGAGGTTGCAGTGAGCCGAGATCACGCCACTGCACTCCAGCCTGGGTGACAGAGCGAGACTCCATCTTAAAAAATAAACAAACTAATTTTCCTGTTTGATTATTTTTCAGGAATTCACTTTAGAAAAAATGGAATCTTTATTTCCTGGGGAATTGTTCTGCTACCACGCCCTGCTATTTTTTTTTTGAGACAGAGTTTCGCTCTTGTTGCCCAGGCTGGAGTACAATGGCGTGATCTTGACTCACTGCAACCTCTGCCTCCCAGTTTCAAACAATTCTCCTGCCTCAACCTCCCAAGTAGTTGGGATTACAGGCACCCACTACCACGCCTAGCTTATTTTTTGTATTTTTGGTAGAGATGGGGCTTCACCGTGTTGGCCAAGCTGGTCTTGAACTCCTGACCTCAGGTGTGGTTCTTAATCATTGTTATTTATTCTCCGTAAATATATCAGAAGTACCCAGAATTTGGAGTATAGGTATTGGGAATGGCAAATAACTTTTTTTATAAAGTGAAAGTATGGGTCATCAGTTTCCTAAGGATTCCTATAAATGTGCTTTTGCACAGTGGGTAGCTGTTCATCCTTAGTTAATAGCAGATTAATTAAAGTGGAAAATCTATGCCGGGAAATGGTAGGCCTTTATTGAGATGATTTTTTTTAATCCTAAAGTCAGTGCTGATGGATTGTTTTACTGTTGCCTTTGGGCTTATCCTTGGACTTTTATAATGCACTCAACTCGGTATTTATAGTATTACCAGCCTCTTTTTAAATTTCGTAATTTTGCTGTTAGAGGATTTCTGTTAGCTGTTGGATTTTTTTTTTTTTTTTTCCTGAAACTTTTTCCATTTAATTTACAGGTGATCAAGCTAGAAACTTTTTTTTTCAATCTGGGTTACCTCAACCTGTTTTAGCACAGATATGGTAAGTTGGAATTTTACATAAGCATAAGGCAAAATAAAATATCATTTAGTTCTATATGTTAATATGATTTCTTATGTTTTAAAAGGAGAACATGTATTTCTAGCCTGAAATATCTCCTTACTTCTTACCAGAGAATGATGTCTGAAAAGTGTCTTTCTCATATGGAACTAAAACAAAACAAAAAAAGTGGTGATATTTGAATGACAACACTGTCAAAAAGTTGAATTTCCATGGAGACATCTAAATTTTGATGTTCCTTCACCAGTTAGTTTTGGCTTCATCCATATCACCCATATTTATTTGAATGTCCCACATTTCTTGCTTTATAATGGAACAATTTTTTATCTTTCGTTGACTGAAGAATAAAAGGTAAAGACAATATTAGAGTTAGTGCATGGTGAATCCATAATAAATAGATAATACTGAATTCTTCGACTATCACAAATAGGCATTCAATCTTTTAAGCCACAGGAAATACAGAGAGTATAATAAAAAGGGTGGCAAATACAGGTTTGGATTCTAGGCTCATGGCTTTGGAGAGCAATGCTGAATTCTGTTGTCCTCTAAGATGTCTCATTTTTTCACCAAGGGTGCTGAATACTTCACTTCCCTGAGTTAATTAGTGATGTGAAGGCAGCTCGCTGTGAAGAAAGAGCATGTGATTTGTAGTCTACACCTGAGTTTGAATCCCAGATGTACCATGTTCAGTATGTCTGATTTGGAGATACAGTTACCCTCTTTTACCTCAGTTTTCTAATCTAGAAAATAGGAATGCTTATAGTTTTATGAGAGTTGTTGAGAAGATTCCAGAAAAAGCAAGGACTTATTGTGGCTCCTGTCACATAATAGACCCTCAAAATAAAACCCAAAAAGCTATCATCTCCAGGGACTGGGTATTCTACATAACTAAATTTTCCAGCTGATTACTTCGTCCTCTTAAATGACCAAACTTTTACATTTATAATCTTATAGAAATTAATAAAGGTTGAGAGAGCTTTGTGTTTCTTTTAAGCACAGTCTACAGAACACAGTCTAAGCTTTTCTTGATGAAATGTCATCATTATGAAAATCAGTTACTCGTCCTGAAATAGCAAAACTTTCACGGTATATATATATATATATGTGTGTGTGTGTGTGTGTGTGTGTGTGTGTGTGTGTATTTGGATATATTTGAATTGAAATGAAATGATACCAGATCCGTGTGCTTTTTTTGGGTGTCCGCTTTATTTTCTTTTTCCTGGTTGTCAGCATATTGGCCGCCAGACTGTCTCTAAACTAGTGTGCTTGCTCCTCTGAAGCCATTCTGATTCTAACTTCTGATCTATTAGAGCTGAAAAATCAGATAACCAAGCGGTTTTGGAATTACAGTTTAAGTAAAGTAAAAGGCTCAGATGAAGAAACAGCCTGCAAGAAAGAAGTCATGCGCAAGTGAGCACAGCAGTGCTGTTCTGTCAGTTAAATGTGACAGTTTAAACACAAGACCTGTGGCACCTGTGTGAACGTAACAAGCTTCTTTTGCTTCGCACCTCATACATGATCATGTCTCACACCATCAGGACCTCTCACTGGAACCTTCTTCCCCAGACTTAACTTCCTCCACTGGATTATGCTTTTATGTTCTATTCCCAGTTTTTGGAAGTTCATTTATTCTTTCAACACTGAAAAATTATTCATCAGATATCTACTATGGGCCAGGGACTGTTAATAGGTGCGTGGAATATAGCAATGAACAAAATAGACAGAATCCATTCTTTTATTGAAACTACAGTCTAGTGGAGGAAGACAATAACAACACAAAAATTGTCACATGGTGGTAAGTGTGATGGAGTAAAACAAAATACACTCTAACGAATTTCATTTTTTTTCTTCCGTTTTTTGTAGAGATGGGATCTTGCTATGTTGTCCATGTTGGTCTCGAACTCTTGGACTCAGGCCATCTTCCTGCCTTTGCCTCCCAAAGTGCTGGGATTATAGGTGTGGCCACCATGCCTGGCAGAGACAACTGTCTTAATTGAAAAAAGTGACATTTGGCTGGGTGTGGTGGCCCACTTCTGTAATCTCAATGCTTTGGGAGGCCAAGGTGGGAGCATTGCTTGAGCCCAGGAGTTTGAGACCAACCTGGGCAACATAACGAGCCCTTATCTTTAAAAAAATTAGGGAGGCCGAGACGGGCGGATCACGAGGTCAGGAGATCGAGACCATCCTGGCTAACACGGTGAAACCCCGTGTCTACTAAAAAATACAAAAAACTAGCCAGGCGAGGTGGCGGGCACCTGTAGTCCCAGCTACTCGGGAGGCTGAGGCAGGAGAATGGCGTAAACCCGGGAGGCGGAGCTTGCAGTAAGCTGAGATCCAGCCATTGCACTCCAGCCTGGGCGACAGAGCCAGACTCCGTCTCAAAAAAAAAAAAAAAAAAAAATTAAAAAAATTAAAAAAAAATTTTTTTTTTTTTGGAGACGAAGTTTTGCTCTTGTTGTCCAGGCTAGATTGCAATGGCACGATCTTGGCTCACTGCAATCTCCGCCTCCCAGCTTCAAGCGATTCTCCTGCCTCAGCCTCCTGAGTAGCTGGGATTACAGGCCTGCACCACCACGCGTGGCTAATTTTGGTATTTTTAGTAGAGACGGGATTTCACCATGTTGGTCATGCTGGTCTTGAACTCCTGACCTTGTGATCTGCCCGCCTCGACCTCCCAAAGTGCCGGAATTACAGGTGTGAGCCACTGTGCCTGGCCAAAAAAAAAATTTTTTTTTTTAATTAGCTGGGCATTGTGCATGCCTGTAGTCTTAGCTGCTAGGGAGGCTGAAGCGGGAGGATTGCTTGAGCCCTGGAGTTCGAGGCTGCAGTCAGCTATGATTGTGCCTTCTAGCCTGGGTGACAGAGCAAGACCTTGTCTCTAAAAAATAAAAACAGTTGTCTTAACTTTCTAAAGTATTTTTACCTGAGTGGCCCAAAGTCAAGTTTTTATAGTGACCATTTTTATTAATTAAAGATGGTAATTTGGCAATCTTAGATTGAATCAATTAATCTTTAATTTTTTTCTTACGTTTTGCTAAATAAGTTTGTGATGGCGTATTTTACTATCAAAAAATGTCTGTAACTCTCTTTTTCCCAAAAGAAGTACCTTTGAAAAGTCATTGGAAATTTCATGAACCACTGATATCCTGCCCAGATGATGGAATAATGCAGTGCAAAGTATGAGTTTAGCAAAATCTGTCTTTCAACTAAGCTGACTGATACTTACTCACATAGTAACCCTGGGCAGTACTTGATCTTTTAAAGCCTAGGGGTTTTTTTTATTTGTTTTTTTGTGTTTATATTTTGAGACGGAGTCTTGCTCTGTCGCCCAGGCTGTAGTGCAATGGCATGAACTTAGCTCACTGCAACCTCTGCCTCCCAGGTTCAAGTGATTCTCCTGCCTCAGCCTCACAAGTAGCTGGGATTATAGGTGCCCACCACCATGCCCGCCTAATTTTTGTATTTTTAGTAAGAGACAGGGTTTCACCATGTTAGCTAGCCTGGTCTCAACCCCCTGACCTGAAGTGATCTGCTTGCCTCGGCCTCCCAAAGTGCTGGAATTACAGGCGTGACCCACCACAGCCGGCCAAACCTAGGTTTTTAAAATTGCAACTAATAATAGCTGATCTAAAGAAGCAGCCCTCCCAAACCCCATACTATTCTTATGTTCTTCTGTGATTTTTCTGGTAGGGTCCCAGGGTAAGTCCTTACTCCTTTTAGTAGAGAGAGTAATGGGTTTGACTCTGAAGTTTTAGGCAGTCCTTATGTCAGTCATCTGGGGAAGAAGATAATTTTTTGCTTTTTTGTTTGTTTTTGAGACAGGGTCTTACTCTGTCACCCAGGCTGGAGTGCAGTGGCATGATCATAGCTCACTGCAACCTCAACCTTCTGGGCTCAAACAGTCCTCCCACCTCTGCCTCCTGAGTAGCTGAGACTACAGGCATGCACCACCAGGCCTGGCTAATTTTTGTATTTTTTGTGGAGATGGGGTTTTGCCATGTTGCCTAGGCTGGTCTTAAACTCCTAGACTAAAGCAGTCTGCCCGCCTCAGCCTCCCAAAGTGCTGGGATTATAGGCATTAGCCACCGCATTCAGCAAAGAAGAGAAGTTTGGATTGAGAATTGGAAACTGTGGTTTCTCTCTGAGCTTTACTTACTTTGTTCTGGAATTTGTTGCAAATATTTGAGTGATATGAACTGATGGACAGTATATGTTAGAAACCTTTATTATGTTTTATTTCTGTGTAGAAAATATATTCCAGTTAACTAATTTGTGAACTTTTGAACTGTAATCTGTTAATGCTTTGGGGACTCCTTGTCTCTCCTAGCTGATTTCCAATTAAGAATATAAGAAAACCTTAATTCTCAGAGGATGGAGTCAAGTCAGTTGTGTGTAATGCCAAATTATAACTGTGGCCAAAGATGATACATCTTCCTAGAAATTGTCTTATTAATAAGGAGCTGGAAGGAGGTTGGCAGATATCCTTTTGGCAATTGAAGTGCTTAGAATTTTTCCAACCTTGCTGTGATGTGGAGGGGAGGAGAATAAAGCAGTGGGAATAGACAAGAGCCAGAAGGTACAGGAAGGAAAAAGAGACAGTGGTAAAGAGGCTGGATGAGGGCTCTGGAATCTGAGACGGAGGGCCAGCAGAAATGGAGAGAAAAGAGGGAGCAAGGGAGCACTACCTGGAAATGGGCCCTGAGAGGAAAGAAGGGAACCACACACATGAAGGCAAGGATTAGATAAACTTTATGATCTGGTTCAGAATGGGTGGGTCAGAGCAAACAGCCATATATTAATAGTTTGTACTTAAGACACTCCTGAGTATGTGTCAGAAGGGCCTTCACCCCCAACAAGATCAATTTGCTAAACTCAATACAAAAAAAAAGAAAAAAGAATAAGGCATCCTGGACTCTTGATCCCCTCTCCTCCATCCCTCGTTCCTGAGCCTTTGCCATCTCAGTAGTTCATGGCATTGAACT